AAATTGTTACCCCATATAGTTCACTGCTTGGGCTTCATTCTTTTTTCTTTTGAGGTTTCATTTTTTTTTACTTCGCTTGTCTTTCCTACACTGAGCTTGCCATTATTTATGGTATTTTTTATAATTTTATCGGATATCACATATCTGTAAAGCTTTTAGTGACATTACCTATCAATTTTTCATAGTAAGGTACTTTCAAGGTGTTTACAAATAAGACAGTTGTCTTTTTCTCGATGAAAGAAGGTTAAACTTGTGTAATCATATCTTTTCATCTCTGTGCATACTTTTTAAAGCTTTTGGTTACCTTCTTTTTCATATTCTGTAGAGATAGATGATCTGAAGCTAAATCCATGACATGTTGATATTGTGTAATGAATATCTTTAAGAGCTCTTGTCAGGAACGAATACGAGTCCTATCTAGTTGACCATACCATCTGACAGTAAATCTTTTGAGGTTATCTTGAAATTCATGCATCAACAACTTCTCATCATGAGCATGTGTCATCATCTTGCAATAATACATGATGATATGAGTCATTGGGCATTTGTGTCATCATATTTTTTAAATTCAAGAACCTTAAATTTAGGTGGAATGACCACGTCGAGGATCAAACAAAGCTCGATTGCATCTGTGGAGCTATAAAAATTCATTCCCTCTATGACCCTAAGCTTTTTTTCCAATAACTTCATATTTTCTGGGCACTGATATCTTTCACTTTCTCAGGTATCATTATCCCTAACTTTTCTCTCTCATTGGGATCATCCAAGTTAGGAATCAAGATTGGCTCATGTGGTTTTTTCGTCATAATAGGATTAAAAAATTTTGGAACTGTCTTGGAACAGGTGCTGATGTCATTCTTGGATAAGAATTGAAATATCCACCGACAGTAGGAATTTACACTCTGGTTCCTTGAGAAGGTTAGGTTGATCACAGTTCAAACCTTGTAGGGTGTATAGGATCTATCATGTCTAGCGATTGCTTTTGAAGGCTAGGATTTTCTTTCATTGTTTTTTCTTTGTCAAGTTTTTTTAGCATCTCCGTTATTATACTAAGATCCCCCCTTAGTTCTTCTTGAGCTTTTTCCATCATCTCACATTAATTAGCCTATTTTTGTTCCATGATTCTTGTTTGAACTCTGGTGTTGTATGAATGGTGAGTGGGTTGAGTCAAAATTTATTGATGGGTGAGCTATTTCTGAACCTTTATTACCAAAAAAAATTATTTTAAAAAATCAGAATGCCATGTGTTGAAATTTTTATTTTTTATTTTTTGAAAAATAAAAATGATGCACATGATGCATGAATACAAATGGGAGATATTTGCTTTTGGATAAATTTTAGCATTAGAAATTCTCATTAATTTCATACAACTTTTGTTACATGAGATTTGAGCAAATCTATAGTTCTATGGGATTCATGAAGACATTTCAAGAGAAAGATATCTTAGAGCAAATACCTTCATGCAGAACTGTATGATATGATTAATGTAAAAAGAAAAATAAAACAAAATTGAGTTAGTGTGAGGATGTAGTTTAAGATAAAAAAATATTTTTTTTATTTTGAGATTTTTGTTTTGTATTACACACAACCTTTATTCTTACACGTTTTGGACATAGGTATTTTTTACAAGAGGGTGGGCAAGGTTTTACCTAAGGTTAGCTTCTTAGGCTTATTGCATGTTGAGTTTACGTTAACATGTGTCTAAAGGTTCTCAAATTGTTCATTACTGTCGTCCATGCTAGACTAGTAAGAAAATCTTGATCCTTACCCATTACAGGCTATGAATGAAAAGGGTTCAATTTGAGTGAAAGTATTTCACTTGCCATTCGGAAGTTATCACCTCACGAGGACGTAGGTACTTTACTTTCTCCTATAAAGGACGGAGCTCGGGTATAGAGCTTATGCATGAGACGCATCATGTTATTGTGTGTGTGTGTATATGTTTCCTAATTTATCAAGAGTAATATATATAGAAAAATAAAGCATAAGAAAAGTAGTAAAAAAAACATGTGTGAACTTTCTTTTTGTTTTCGATTTTTTTGCTTTTTTTTAAGTGAAAAATAAAAATCTAAGAAATCGATTAGGATCATTTAAATTAAAATTTAAGGATAACACGTAGTTAATTTTGACCTAACTCTCAATAAAAGTTGCTTCTCTAGTGGAATTGCCAAGCTGTCTAACGATTTTGTATCCGTCAGAAGAATTTGGAAATGAAATAAAAAATAACAGAATCGTCACCAATCTTTTTTGGCTAGGTGCGATTGACCACCTATTAAAATTTATCCTTTTAATAAAATTTTAAAATTAATTAAAATTGATTAAAAAGATAATTTTATGGTATGCGAAACAGTCTAGATTCGAGAGTCGGTTACGCGTAGAAAAAGATTAGCACCCGCACAACGTCCGTTTAAAAACGGTACCACTTAACTATGTGTATTTGAAAAATAGTCTCATTTTCGGTATTTGAAAAATAATTTTCTTAATTTTTCATTTATTGGAAATTAGTTTATTTTATTTTTTAAAAAAAGGTTTATTATTCAAATTTTATTCGAGAAAAATAAATTAGAACCTTTTTATTGAAATAATTCTTAAAATGTTCTAATACATTGATAACATTAGAAGAACTATTTCTCACCTAGAGATTTCTTAGGCATCGCTTCTTAGAATACCTTAGAATCTCATCTTCGGAAGTTCAAATTTATTTTTCGTAAAAATTTATGTGATGCATACAATGCAAATGATAATACGTTAATGCACACATTTTATTTTTTATTTAGAAGTTTTATTAATTTTAATTAATACTTATTATTATTTTCATTTAAAAAAAAGAAGAATTTTTATTATAGTGAAGATTTTTTATAAATATTTCAATACATTGGTAATATTTAAAAAATCTTATCACCTAAAAGTTTTTAGAGTATCTCTACTTAGAATACTTTTAGAATCTCATTATTGGATAAAATTTTTTTCCTCATTTTTTATTACTTATTCTTAATTTATTATTTTATAACCAAAAAAATTTTATTGTATTGAAAACTTTTTATAAATACTCTAATACATTGGTAGTATTTAAAAAAAATCTTCTCACCTAGAGATTTCGTAAGTATCACTACTAGGAGTACCTTTGAATCTCATCATCGGATAAAAATTTTCTTTTCTTATATATTTTTTATTAATTTTGTATTATTATTAAGTTTATTTTTTATTTTTAAAGTTTATTTTAAAAATTAACAAAATTATAAAAAAAATTTAACTACATATTTTATCATTTAATCTAACAAATATAAATATTTTAATATGCATAAATATTAATAAAATAATATATAAAAAATCAAAAAAAAAAATTTTACCTGAACCGAACCGGTCAACGTTGATCCAGTCGATTTGGTGGCTCAGTTGTGGTTTGGTTGGATCGATGGTTTGGTTGCGGTCTAGTTGGTTCGACAGTTCAAAACCGGTTCGACTTGGTATGGGTAGGTTCAGTTGCACCAATCTGGGCCTAAGGGTGAGTCGGGTAGGTCGCGCGGACCCCGAGTCAGGTCAATGGGTTGACGCGTGGATCCTAAGTGCCTAAAATAGCGTTGTTTTGATCTTTTTTGAAATGACATCGTTTTGATCTTTATTGAAACGACGTCGCTTTGAGCTTTGGTAGTTTCTATAAAAGAGCTCAAAATTTTTTTCGATCATTTCTTCCCTTCCCTAGAAAAAAAAACTCATTTCCTCTCTCTCAGGCAAATCGGGGGCCGGTGGCTATCCGTTGTGATGACCGCCGTGTTCATTGCCAATGACGAACTCTGACCATCGTGTCGATCGTCGAAAAATCTCAAAACTCATCAAAACATTCTCCTTAACCTGATCTTTTTAGATCCAAGCTTATTTTGATCGAAAACAATCCCAATAAACGTAGATCGGGGCTCAAAGTTTAGGTGTTCTTTTTTTTTTTTTGAAAACCTAAACTAACAATCTTTTTCTTTTGTTGCAGGAATGCTTTGGCGTTGAGGTTCCTCTTTACGGGGAGGACTATTTTTTTGTGTTTTTTTCTAATTTTTTACAGATCTCCCTTACTTTCTAAATTGGGTGACAAGGAGCTTATTTTTTTAGAGTTCAGCTATGCTTTCATGGCTGCACTAAGGCTTGCAAAGGGGTTCCTATGCATCACAACACTAGCCTATCTCAATTTTTTCTCTGTCTTTATCTATTTTAACTTGTGCAAAAGTAGGCACATGCCTAGCAAGGGGGGGACTAGAATGTGCCGTTAGAACACCAAGCATGTTTGTTTTTCTTTTTGTATTTTTCTATTGTCTATTTGGTTCTTCAGTTTTGTTATCTTTTAACTTTTTTTTTTTGCTTTTTTATTATCATTTATACTTATTATTGTATTTAATAAATTACTTTATCTTATTAATAAATTGATCAAGTGAACAAATTGACTTCTACAAGAATGCAAATTCTAAGAAGCATTAACTGAAGTGAACTACAGCTTGGTGAAAAAGAAAGAAATTAAAAAAAGTTTCTTTTTTTTATATAAAAAATTCATAATTTAAGATATAAAAACATGTTACAAGTAATATTATCTAATTTAAATTTGTTGAATATTATTTTTAATGATGACTGTATGAATTAATTAAGTTAAGATTCAAATTAAAAAAAGTTTTATTTCACATTAAAAAAAGTAAAAAAAAAAATAGTTTTATTTCACATTGAAAAAAGTAGGTAAAATAGATGATGGTGCATCTATTTTGTAGGGTAATATAGCAGTTATTAGTAGTAATTACCATAAAGATGATGAATAAAATTATTCTTTCCATCAAATACATAGAATCTATAAACTTTAGAACATCTGGAAAGAAATCGGGTTCCTCTCCAGGAGGCTGGAGCCATCAATGTAAGAAGACGGTTGCTTTAAAGCAAACCCTTTTCGCAATCGAAACAGAAGATTTCAAATGCCTTTTGGTTATGAGTTTACACATGGGAAAGTAGAAAAGAAAATCGAAACGTACCTGAAGAATTGAAGAAGAAAAAGAAGCTATGAAGTTATTAAGTCTGAAAATTCTGAGTCAATGCTACAAAAATTTTCGACAATATTTCCTTCTTTTACAAGTAAAACAAAGCAACGGTGCTTCCTTCGTTCCTATCTTAGGTCTGAAAATTTTCTTTCTTTTTATAAGCCACCCCAACAAGTAAATAAGTGGAGTTTTTTTTTTTTTTCGGATAATTACAAATTTAATTGTCCACAATGGAATAAAAATTTATAAGAACCAAATTAATTAAGGCAAGATCATAATGACATCAGTAGGTCTAGAGAAAATATTATGAAAATCCTTTGTTTAAAGAGTGGAAAGAAAAGGAAAGACGATATTCTATTTGATTGTTTCAATTATACCTTTTCTCAGATTTTTTTTCTTTTTTGCATTTGTTGCCTTTCCATAAGTCATCGGCAAGAAGGAATTTTATGCCTTTTTCTTCTGTTCCTTGTAAAGGGAGAAGAACCAAAACTGGGTTAGGCAGGAACCATGCTTGTCGTTCGATACTTCCATTAATTCAACAGTTCTTTTTTGCTCTTTAGGTTTGAATTTTGCGTAAACACATATCCATTTTGTCTTATTTATCGACCATAAATCAAGAAAATGACATACAACATCTTATTAAATTCATTAATGATTGAAGTTGGCGTATTTTGTTTTGATGTTAGATGCATCCTTTTATTTTCCTCAAAAAGAGGGCTAATCTTTATGATAGTTTTTAGTCATATTTGAGGAAGAGCAAACACCATACGGATTGCATGCCAGGTATGGAATGTAATCTAACGAGCTAATGATCTGTGAATTTGATTCATTGCTTATAAAAAAATGTTTTTAGTTGGATCAATAACAGCTGTTTAAAACTATTAAGACCTTCAAGTTTATATCCAGATCTTGAAATTTAATTTTGAAGAAACCAAATTATATTAATTTTTCATTTATAGTTATTTATTTAATATTAATATTTAAAATATATTTAAAAATATTTAAAAATATATTTTTTATTACATCAAAAAAGTAAAGTTTTAGTATAAATAAAAAAAAAAAAAACTTAACTCGAAATCAAAGCCTTAATATCCCTTCAAATATCTTTAATCACTTTTTTTAAGTGGTATATGCATCAACTTTGCTCCTCCCATTAAAAAGTAATTATCTGAATTAACGTTGCTCTTCCCATTAGAAAGGAAATGTCATTTTCCTTTATTTCGATCAGCTGCATCAGACTTTGCTCTACCCGTAAATCGATTCAACGTAGCGGTGTGTTGCGGTTTCAGTGTTCAAGAAATTTTACTAATTCAGGAATATGACGGAAAACGGAAGCTGACTGTACAAAATTTAGGAAAGTTCACTTGGCTTTGATGATTCCAAAACGGCTATTGTATGTCCCTATCAATTCAATTAGGCTAACTCACATGCTCAATTGTGTCGGATTGATGTTTTGGGGTCAGTGAAAAGCAAGAAACAGCAAACTTTTTTTTTTCTCCATCGATACCAAAAAGTCCAACTGAATTGCCTGGGAGGCAAGTTGTTTTTCATTTTTTCAAGCATGTTACTTGTTTTTCTAAGATTGTGAGAGCATGTTGTCGACAAAAGACATCACAAAAGAACCTTTCCGCAGAACTAAATTGGAAAACAAGAGTAAAATGTATGTAATCATACTGCCTAGCCAGAAAAAGATGAAAGGAATTCATGAATCAATGTCTTGCCTGATGAATACACAACATTTATGATGAATTTGCACGGTAATGGATACAAAATTTGGTGATTGTGAGTGCTGTACAAAATTGAAGCATCAGAACAGTATACAATATTGACACAAAGACTAGAAACAATTAGCATTTTCTACTGCTACCAACCTCCATGGCCGACATTGACTAGAGGCGTTTCCACTTATTCCTGATTGCTGCTTTAGGTTGGTAAGAGCATCCTCAGCATGTCTCTTTACGTTAGCATTTCCATGCTTAAAGGTTTCTACCAAAGCCCCAGCCAGTGAATGATTGAGTGAGTACCTGTGGGCAGGGCTATCCACTCTCAATGCTCTCTCTTGAAGCAAACCAGGACGAATTTCTGTAAAAGGCCGCAATGACATCCTGCTTTTTGAGCTCATCCACAGCTCTTTTGTGACCATTAGAACTATCTACCACAAGAGTTGGAAATGCTTCAATGCAGCAATTTGAACATTGGTATCTTCCTCGTGAAGAAGGTCAACCAAAGGTATGATACAATTAGATTTTAGTAAGCACAGTTGACTATTGTTTTCACATGGAGCATTCTGTATGGGACAAGTGGAAGGTTATGGAGAAGCCCTCCCACACATGAACACCAAAGAATTACAGAAGCCTTGGAAATTGCATGGCTCTTAGAAGATGAGGTAAAAACAATCCTGGATTCAAGCTTTGTTAAATGGACAGTAATGACTCTTAAAAGCAGCTGGGTATCTCCGATGGAAGAACACCAAGCATAAAATATCTATGACAAAAATGCAAGTAAAATTTCAACTTTCTTTTTTGTTTTGAGAGAATTGAGAACAAAAAATTTAGCTTGGAAATTCCAAAACGAGATAAAGGCAAACATTTGGAAATTCCAATCAAGAAGGCACGTTCTACTTAAATATTTCCTCAACTAATCATATTCCAAATTTCTTACATGCGACATCTTTGTTCATATGAGAAACAAAGTCTTATGCTTTGCAAAAGACATAAGTCAAACAAGCTTACAAGTAATTCAGCACCCAATCTTAAATGTAAATAAGGAAACCTTAATCCAATCAAATTCCTACCTTTTTTTTTCTCACATTCTAGTTTATACTAAAAAAGATGTAAGAGTATGAAGTGAAGTACTAACCTTACTTTCTTCATCCTTAGCCATGCTAAGCAAAGCCATCAGAGCTTTACCTCTCAAAACAGTTCCAGTTCTCTTTGAACAATTACTTAACAACTTAACAATTATCACCACAACCCCAGCATCCAACACCCTCCACCTCCATACTCTCCTTACTAAGCTGCTCCACCGTGCCCTTCACCTGCATCTCAACATTCCTATTAACCCATTGTTCAATAGCAACTGCCAAAGCAATATTGCGGAAGCGAAAGCAGTGAACCGGCCGAGGTTGTCAAAGGAGTCCATGGAGGAAGAGGAAGTGAGTTCTTCGACCGAACGGTGGATGGACTCCGCCACTGCGGCCACCGTATACGGCTGAAACTGTTTTTTTTTTTTTCCTTTCCAGTACAGTGTTTTTCCGAAGGATTTTTATTTGAAGCCCATGAGTCAAGGTTTGAGTTTGGAGGCGCTGACTTTCCACCCCCACGGTTTGATTCTGGTAAAGTCCTTTGATCGTTTTGTTGGTTTTAATTAATAACCAGTGCTGTAAACCCGCTTCGTTCGGGATTGGTTGAGTAAATAATTATTTTAAAGCGTATTATAAAGATAAAATTAAAGTTATTTAAATATATTATATTTGTATTTATATATCAAACAAAAAATTAGAAATTACATGTATAAAAGAAATATTATAATTTAATGAAATTAAAAATTAATATTATTATTTTATTTTATGTATCCAAAAAATTGACAGTTATTATGTGTATAATAACAAATTTTTTAAAAATTCAACTTATAAAATAATTCACATCTAATATATATATATATATATATATATATTATATTATAACATACAAAATTACATGATCAAAATTACTTATGTGAATACTTAGGTGAATAATCTCTTTTAATGACACGTAAAATAATATTTATATTATTTTATTTATCAAAAATTTTTTTTAATAAATTATTTAAATTGAATATTTTGGATAATTATTTAAATTGAAATCAATATTTATCTAAAATTAAAATTTTTGCATAAGATTTGAATTCAAATATATTAAATGATAATTTATCTTTTCTTTTTTAAATTTAATAGTAGTTTCAAATATATATATATTTAATAAAAAAAATTTTGTCAAATAATTATATTTAATAAATTATTTTAAATTAATATTTTTGGATAATTATTTAAATTCAAATCAAAATCTATCAAAAATTAAAAATTATTTAATAAATTATATAAATTTAATACTTTAAGATAAGTTAATGAATTATGAGCTAAAAAGCATGTATTTTTTAAATAATAAAAACTTATATCTTTATATGAAAATATGATACATTTGAATTTTGATAAAAAAATTAGATAAAAATATGTTTTTGTTTTGAAAACAAATCTAATGTTTTATTTATGTTCTAATTCAAATATTTTTATATTATATATTTGGTTAATTAATTTATTTTTCTTTAATCCATAACTTTTTTTAATTTTGTTTATATTAATTATAATTAACATTTTTATTATATATTTTTTTATTTTATTCATTTCTTAAATGTTTTTATTTTCTATTAGTTTATTAACATATTTGCTTTTATTATTATATATATTTAATCATGTCAAATTAATATGTAAATTTATATTTTCTATTTACTTTTGCTATACTTTTTATTATTAAATTTATTTGTCTATAATGGATGATATAAGAAGAATGATGACCATTACCATATCTAACTCATAAAAAATACTATTAATTATGTGAACAATGATTAAAAATAAAAAAAAAAATATTTTAAAAAATTTCAAGCATAACATAAAGAATTATTGTTTCCCTTTTATCTACAAAATAACTTTATTTTATTGACATATATAAAAATAATTGTTAGCCCAATATATTTATGTAATAATTACTTGAAGTATATTAAAAATAAGAATTAATAAAAAGTAAATAATTATAACAAAATTAATAATTATGATTTGTTGTTCAATCAAATATATATATATATACATCATCACCTAATCAATATTATGATAAAAATAATTATTAATTTTAACTATTTAAATATCGAATTCTTGATTTTTTATCAAATAAAAAAAAACGGTAGTAAAATTTTTTGTATTTAACAAATAAATTGAAGAAAATTTTTTAATGAAAAAAAAATTTTTATAATTTTTGAAAATTTACAAAATTTAGACTTCTTTTAGGTGAACAATATCATTTATAATATATTATGTATAATTTATCATTTAATTGTAATTTAACATTTATAAATATATGATTATATATTAAATAAATAATTTAAAATAAAATTAAAATTATGAAAAATTTAATTAAAAATTCCGTACATTATACGGATTTAAAATGCTAGTTCTCTTATATTTCAAAATCCACTAAACTAAAAAAAAATAAAATTATCATGTATAAAAAGCTTATTAATATTCTTTCATATCCCAAAACTCATTAAAAAAATAAAACTATCATGTGTAAAATGTTTACAAGACTCTTTATATATATATATATATATAGTAGTGTAGATTCATTCCAATAAACAACAGAGTTCGAACTCTAGTTAGATCCGAACCCGAATGGGTCACTACCAAACTCTATGGTAAAGCTTAAAGAGTTCAAAGTCCGAATAATATCAGACTTTCGGGTTTGCTCCATCTCTGGTCCGCATAGAGTTATCCTGGCACCCAAACCATTCGTTAGTTATTATTAATTAACCTCCACAAACTCCTTTTAATCTTTTCTTCGCCCTCGACAAAGAGATTCCCCAAGTTCCCATCTTTCATTGGCTTTCGCATCAACGCCATGGATCGAGCCCAGCTCCTTCTCCTAGGCTTACCTCTCTTCCTCTTCGCCACCGATCTCATCAGCCTCTTCACTCCTCCGCCGCCCAAACCACCTTCCCACCACCACCACCACCATCATCATCATCCCCACCCTCCCAAACCTTCAATCAACTCTGAAACCCTAGATTTTCCTTTACAGGTAATTTTAACCATTGATCAATTATTTTAAGTGAATTTCTTCTTCAATTTATCTAATCTTCTTTTCCCCTTTCTATTTCCTTTGTAGAAACCCAACGCTTTTGGAGGAATCGGCTATGGCAGCACGGTGAATATCAACTTTTGCGCTTCATGCTCTTACAGGTTCCATTTAATTTTTGCTTCTAATACTTTTAAAATTAGGTATTGTTTTTGAAGAATTACAAAGTAATTGATGAAATTATGCAGGGGAACTGCTGTGACAATGAAGAAGATGTTAGAAACCGAGTTTCCTGGAATTGATGTAATCCTTGAAAACTATCCACCTCCATTGCCAAAACGGTTGCTATCCAAAGTGGTTCCAGTTTTTCAATTTGGTGTTATAGGAATTATAATGGCAGGTGAACAGATTTTTCCTATGATTGGGATCATGACACCACCGCCATGGTATTATTCGTTGCGTGCTAACAGGTTTGGGTCCATTGCAAGTGCTTGGCTTCTTGGGAATGTGATGCAGTCTTTTCTGCAGAGCTCTGGTGCTTTTGAGGTTTATTGCAATGGTGAATTGGTTAGTGACCTTTCTGTTATTAGATGTCTGGTTTTAGATGCTTTCAATTGAATTCTTTCTGCTACCCAATGATTTTGATATGGTGGGATGAGTGAAAATTCTTGATGTTATGCTGAGAATAGCATTTCTTTTGGTGTGCTAACTTAAAATATACACATAAAGGTTTCCAATTTCCATTGCCACAATCTACAAATAGATGGTTTCAGCCTTGAACAAGGCCAGGCACGAGGGTTACAATCAATACTTTTCTTATGAGCTAAAATGTCTACAATCTTCAAGATTATGAAACAGTCCACAATTTTACTTCCGTGTTTGTCTCTCCGACTCCGTCCTTCATGTCCTGAGCATTCGAGAACACCCCAAATTCAATTTGTTATTGCTTATTGATTGATAAAGTTGTTTTTGCTGCTTAGAAAACCTGAGATTGAATTCTGATGGTAGAACAAGTTGTGTGCATCTCTGAATTTTTTGTTTGAATGCCCTATGAGTTGCTTAACTTTTTCACATTTTCAAATTATAGGTATACTCTAAGCTGAAGGAGGGAAGGTTTCCAGGGGAGATCGAGTTAAAAGATCTCGTGGGCAAAACATTGGCTAATACAAGAGTAACTGACGACCTTGGAGCAGTGTGGTCTTAGGTCAATGTTTGGACATTAACTGTTCGATCACAGTAATTTGAGCATAATAGTCCAAGGCTTGAGGTCCATTTTGATTATTAGTACTTATTAGATTGCTGTAATGAAAACATCAAAAGACATGGGAGCAGTTTTTCCATCCTTTGTGTATCTGAACCATCCTTCACTTATGGAAGCCACTTTATTCTAACAAATGATCTCAAACTGAGAATCTCAGTACTTACCATCTTCCAATTTTCGACATACTATTTTTTAATTTTTTGCTTTGGTAACTTGCACTTGGGTTCATTTAACTTATAATATTTCTTATTACAATCTTATAATTGTCCAATTATAATAAAAATTGTGTAGATGCCCATCATTTATAAATGTAGGTTTTATATAAAATTTTGATGGATTTTACATAATTTTATATTTTGACTAATGAATTGTAATACATTGATTGTAGGTGATATGTGCTCTTCTTGTACACTTAGCTTAATTTATTTCATCGCGATTTGTTCAAATCTTAAAAACTTCTTTGGTAGAAGTAGCATTTTGTACGAATGTAATATGTTGCTTCACTAATATAATTTAAAACAAGAATTGTAGTCCATAGTATTTACCAACTGACTTAACTTTTGCCTACTAAATAAGAAGTTGAATAATTTATTTTCACTTGATAACATTTTTACACACATTTCAATATCATATTATATATATATATATATATATATATATATATATATACACACATGAAAACTATGTAACTAGCTAAACATATTTCTCCGCCCAGTAGTCAATTTATATCTTTCTATTCGTATTATAAAATTTATTAAACAAAAATTAATTATGCACATAATTAGTAGCAAGGTAAAACTAATTAGGCATATGTTTAGATTTTAATCAGCCATTAAATATTTCTTCTAGAAAAAATAAGTATCATTAAGCCCCTCGACTTCTGTGGCCACAACCATTGCCGCCCCTACCTCTAGCTCTAGAAGGAGGATCATGCCCACAATTCGCTGTCGGTTCATCGTAATCCTCGATGCTTGCCGTTAGAGACCTTCCCTCCATGGCCAACACAATCTCGACCCCTACAACATAAACCATGCAACAATATTAATTATTTCATTAAATACATCTTTACCAAGTCAAGATATTGTTAATTAAAAATTATGAAGTTGATTGTGATCATAAAAAAAACATAAAATCACGCCTTGAGGTAGCACAAATTCAACTTAATATGCCTTGAAACGTACCTGAAAGTGAAATGGTGTTACGGGCTGAGGAAAATATGGCCAACGTAAACAAAATGAAGAAGCAAAGCTTCAATCTAAAACCCATATTCTGTCTTTTTCTTCCTATGGCCTTTGAATGTTTTCTATTTTCCTTCTTTGAATTAAACTAGGAAGCCCTATTTATAGATTAAAAGTTTCAATGCTTTCTTGTATGATATGTGGCGAATGGTGACAGGGGGGGATTGAGAGTTGACGTTATGTTCATCGTGGGTGCCACTTCTAACCCATGAAATAGCTGTTACTTGGATTGGATCTTAGCCGTTCATTGATCTCAATTTAGTCAACGAGGTTGCTGTCGATCGCTTCCTTTACTTGAAAAGGAAACAAATGAAATAAATAAAATTTTAAAAAATGCATTTTCTATTCTAAAATCATAATCAATTTTCATTTATACTCTACGCCATGACATGCTGTGTAAAATAATGTAGATAAATTTAGTTCAATTGTAATTTATATTACTAAAACTTTAAATGAATATCGGACACAAATATATGTTTAAGACGAATACATGTATATATATTAATTTTATTTTTTTATTTAATTGGAGAGTCAAATTTTTATATCCTATATTTATTTAAATACACGTTGAATATGAATATTTAATTAAAAAAATTGAAAATTAGAGCAACATAGGTTTTAATAGTTTTGAAACAATGTCTAATGCTTTTTCAGCAGTGTTGGTATGGTGGGATGACACTTGATAGCATAACTCTTTACAGCTTTTTTCTATCTGTTGTAATGTTGTATTTTTCAAAGTGCCTAATGTAAGTGATTATATTTAAGTAAAGAAAAATGTTATTAATGTATTTCCTTTTTCTTGAGTTTAGCAAACAATACATTAAATGTAAAAGTCTCTTTCAAAATTCAGGCTTGAAAGCAATGCCAAGTACTAGTAATAACTGTGAAGTTTGCGATGAAAATAAATCTTTAAGACTTTAGTCACAAATTAATCATCAAATAACAATGGGTGTAACTGTTTAAATTTATACATTAATGTCAAACTAATAATAATTTTCTTTCCACCCTCAAACTTAAAACTTATATATGCCCCAAATTCAAGCCAATAAAGCAATGATTTGATACCATAACAGCCAGTAGAGTGCGGATAATCAATAACTTTTAATTCATTCATAATAACAATGTTAAACATGGCATTGGTTAAGATCATATTTAAGGGAAAAAAAAGTATAATATTTTAGGAGCTGGCATTCTAAATGTATTGATTAAGGTCAGGGGCAGAGCTAGAGGGGGCTAGCAGAGGTTACAGGCTCCCATAAATTTTTTATAGTCCTTGTTATACAATGATTATTCTCACTTAATTATTATTTTGATCTCTCTTTTTCTTTGAAATTATTGTTTGATGCCTCTTTTATCAAATTTGTGTTTTCGTCTCTGATTAAGGTGTTAGTTTTTGGAATTCATTTGACTTCACTACTATAATCATTGGTAATTTTTCAATACTTAGTTAATGAAAACATTCATTTAAATAATAATTTCGTCAGATTTTTCAGAGCACTCTATAGCAAAATTCATAACAATTAACAAAGCCGAAATTTTCTTTTTATTCCCGGTTTTGAAAGTAATAATTATACATTTGTCAGTAAAGCTGAGAAATATTGTTTATGATGCTTGCTAAACACTAAACAAAGTGTTCCTAAAAGAAGTTGATATAACATAGAATATTATACTTAAAGGCTTGCTATCATTTACTTTAATAATTAATCCATGTTATTGTGATAGTTTGACTTTATGTATATCATCATATATTAGTTGTTTTCTTTTTTGGGCAATTTTTTATGTAAAGCTGTGGATTATGATACAGATTTGATTCATCGTACCAAGCTTATAATAAAAGCTTTTTGATGAAATACGATAATGTGTCAGTAATTGGTTTATCATTGTATTTTCATAGTGACGTTGACAAAATTCATGATACTTCAAAGATTAAAAAATAAAAAATAAAAAATTTAAATGAAAATTTCTCTTAAACACTCTCAAAATTTTTTTATGGTAGGCGAGTTTCCAATGAAAAATGACTGTTAACTCGGTGTAATGCACCGAATACCTTTAGTGATAATTATATATACCTGTAATTTTAGTGGATTATAAAGTTATAATCACACGTGCTACAGCTTTGTTACCTTGACTTGATATTGCTCCACTTTCCCTACAACAAGCTGACGATTGCAATCAAAGTTTTCCAGTGGCTGGTTTCTGAGCAATCAGCAATCTCTTCCCTTTGATGTTCTAAACACTAAGTCAACTTGCCATGCATCCATTATTCCTTCTAGGTCAGAGAGCAGACCTTGCCGAGCTGCCTCTAGAGTCTCCATATACTGTAACTCAAAACTCAAAGCCATGAGACTTGCTTTCAACTTTTTATTTCACGCATGCTCTCTTCTGAAACGCCTAAGCTCCATAACCTTAAAGAAGAGAGTATCATCATGTTCATACTAGGCTCAACTAAATTTATCCAACATAAACAAGCTCAAGCCCGACTTCAAAAATCTTGTTGACCAAAATAGCCACTCACAATAACGTGGATCCCCTAAATGTGGGTTCATTTCTGATTCTTTGATGAGTAGATGTCCTGGCTGACGGGATCTATTTATAATGGGATTACCACTTGCTCCCCTGCATTGCTGCCCGATATAGGATTCTTGGCTTATGCCTTAAGGAGTGGTTTTCTTTTCTTGCTCATTTGTTTATATTTATCTTGTGCCAATTTTTGAACATCTAAGAAAATAATTTGTAATACCATTGTTATAATATTTATAAATGAGTTTTATTTTATTTTATGTATATATACTTTTGTTTAACATAAATATTAAATCATGATTTTGATTGTATAAAAAGATATTAAAGCTAAAATTAATCAACTTGATATAATAAGACAAGTTCTTATCAAGCATTTATTGAGCTTTTTATCAATCTTGTTCATGTTAAGAATAAAGATTCAAATTTCATAGAAATTTTTTTGAGATTGGTCAGATATTGCTTGATGTACAAGAAGACTTGCAAAAGAATAATTCCAATGAAAAAAAATTCTTAATAAACAAGTTTGACTTGCAGAAGAAGAATTCTAAAAGTAAAAAATATTTTTAATAGGCAAATTTGTATGGTTATAAATAAGTGAAGTCTCTATAAGGTTAGGCATTAGAAAAAGATGTAAGAGAGTTATAGGGTTTTGTGGGATAGACACCCGATAAGTGTATTAGGGCTTTACGTCTTATATGTGTGCATGTTTATTTGTGAGTGGACTAGAAAAAACTGAGAGAGTCCACATAGGTATAATGTATGAGTGCATATGAGTATGTGTTTAGTTGTGTTGAAAGAGTGCACATTGATATGTATTTGTTTGAGTTGAAAATATTTCATACGACTAGACGAGATTGAGAAGGTCTATGGATATTGATTGTTGAGTAGTTGATATGTTTTGATGTATATTTGTAATTTTTTACAATTAGTAGATCTTATTTCTCATCCGTGGACGTAAGTCGTTGGATTGAACCATGTTAAATTGTTGTCTCTTGTGTGATTAATTGATTGTTTGATTTCACTTCCGCTGACGTGATTGTATTGGAGCTTTTTGGCCTAACAAATGATATCAGAGTTATGATGATTTCTAATAAGTGGTATCAGAGCCAGGTTCAAGACATGGGAAGATGCAAACTTAGAGGAGTTCGATTAAAGAAATAAGTTCGAGTTCGTGTTTTGAGGATTGATTCGTATAAAGCATAAAGGCACACAATAAAAATGATTGTGAGAGTTTCATTGTAGGTAGAGTCAAGCATGTCTAGTATGAAGACAGATGATTGATGAAATTTGAGTCAATGTGAAGATGGTTAGGAATAATGACTCAAATCCATAGAAAATTTTTTTGGGATTGATCAGATATTACTTGATGGACAAGAAGATTTGCAAAAGAAAAATTCTAAAAGAAAGAGGATTCTTAATAAACAAGTTTGACTTACAAGAGAAAAATTCTAAGAGGAAAAAAATTCTTAATAGGCAAGTTTGTATGGTTATAAATAAGTGAAGTCTCTATAAGGTTAAGTATGAGAAAAAAATGTAAGAGAATTATAAGGTTTTGTGGGATAAACACCCTATAGGAGTATTGGAGCTTTACGTTTTATTGGTATGTATGTTTGTTTATGAGTGAATTAGAGAAGATCGAGAGGGTCCACATAGGTATGATGTATGAGTAAATATGGGTATGTGTTTGGTTGTATTGAAAATGTGCACATGGGTATATATTTGTTTGGGTTGAGAATACTTTATAGGACTAGAGAAAATTGAGAGGGTCTATGTGTATTGATTATTGAGTGATTGATATGTTTTGATGTATGTTTGTAATTTCTATAACTAATAGATCTTGTTTCTCATCTATAGATGCAGGTCAGTTTGATCGAACCATGTTAAATTATTATCTCTTGTGTGATTGATTAATTATTTGATTTTACTTCTGCTGACGTGATTGAATAGAGACCTTTTGGCCTAATAGTTCACAATTACCTTGATAAATCGTGGACTTATAACGCGTAGAGGTTACCTATGTTTGTATTCTATTCATTTATTAAACAAGTTTTAATATTTTGTTTAAAATTGTTTGTATATCTTGATAAACAAACAGAAAGAAACCCGAATATATTTTCATATAATTTATTGAATTTTTTTTTCTTTTGTTACCCTATAAAAGAATTAAATCATTATGTTTGATTATGGAGTGTTTCTTCTTTTAGATTGGAGATAACAAGTTAAATAGTTTGCAATGTCATTGAGGAGACGCTATATTTGGCTATTTGCTACTAATTGGAGAGGCATTATGTTTCTATAAGTAGGTCAAAACATCAACATTTCTCTCCACTAGCAAATGTTGTCAGATTAGTGGCACTAGGAATGCAATGGAACCACTAGGCTAAACTTTATACATCTGCTGGCATTTGGTCTCCGCGAATGCCATGACCAATTACTCCTGTCACTTTCACTTCGCAGCACATAGTTTTGGTCTGTGTGAAAGACAAATATGATCTATTAAGAGAAAGATATAGAGAAAGCAACATCTTAAAACCCAAAAGAAATACAAATGCATTGTTGCCTATATTGGTCCCATAAACTATGATCACCCAAAGTGAACAACCTTATCCCAATTCTGAATACAAATCCAGTATCCAATATAACATTATCTTTTGACAAAAATCATGGTCTCTTCCCATTTATTTTCTTTGAATGGACTCAAATGTTGATGGTAGGCACTTCATATTTGTTTTTCAAATGCGTCACATTGTATTATTTTCAAATTCAACTTTATCATCTTGAATTTGGATTTCACTAGTCCACAATGTGGTATGATTTTCCTTTTAGTACCATAATTTCTTATCCTTGATGGCGATTGAAATTGCCTCTATTCAGGAAAATTTGACATTCATTGATATAATAGTAGAGGAAAACAACATGCTTCCAATTGCGTTCCATCAACGATTACAGAAATCAAACCAATTGTTTTTTAAAATTAAAAAATCTACAAAACGTAAGCTAGAAGCAAATGTTTAGGTCAAAAAATGTGTTGCAGGACAATAATACGTCTCTGTCAAAAAAAAAAATCACATTTATGATTACCTTTTAAATGTTACCTCGATTTTCCATATCCTCTACAAATTTAAATAGATCAGCAGCCAGGCATTTGGTTCAATGGAAAAATCTATGAGCCAGGCGGTGGAACCCTCGAGAAAATGAGAAGTAGACAAATGATATGCTTTGCACTTTATCGTTTGCTCTCAAGTTTTAATAATATAGTGAATACTTAATAGATTTGTATTTAAATTTTAACATTTATAATTTTTTTTTAAAATTATAAATTATAATATTCTTTATGTAAAAGATATATATCATATTAAGGGTGGACTCCATTTGATTCCATTTCTAAAAACGTCAAACGATTTTTGCTAGTGAATGGAATAGTAATAGTGATAGATTAAAATGAATCTTATAATAAATAGTGCCACAAAAGAAACGATGTCCTTTCTTCTTTGGATGCTAAAAAAGAAACTCTTTTTTCCATTGTCAATGGTACTTGCCTTTGAGGGGAGGGGCCGCTAAATGAATAAATTACACCTAATACTTGTTAAGCAAACGTCGAAGGGGTTGCATTTTATTTTTTATTTTTCAGACATCATATGACAACTTTATTTAATTTGGGGTAATTATGAGTCATTGAATTTGACCAGTTTGGAGATGCAAAACTAGATTTTGATTTGCTAAACCCATGTGAATTTGGTCTCTTATTTTTTGTTTTCTTTTGTGAATGGTTAAACAAAACCCACTTTATATATCTTTGTCCCCTTAACTTAAAAACTGACAATTATATGCTTGTCATTTAAACAAAAATCTTTGAGCAATTTGTTCTTATACCGGCTGGGAAATTCATTGTTAGAGTCACTGGAAGATCTGTGTTTTGAAGAACAACCTGACATGTGTTTACACTTTGATTTGAAATATGAAAGAAACAATCTTCAGCTTGGAGAACTGAACTCTAAAAAGATTTTCTTTTCATGATTAGGTATATAGAAGGGAAGAATCAACTTACACTAAAAAAATTTTCCATTTTCTTTTTTTTTTAGTAATTGATTTTAATAGATTCAAAAAATAAAAAAAATATTTTTGATTTATCTCTTGTATCTCTTGGATTTATTAAAATCAATAGTTACAAAAATAAAAAAATATAAAATTTTTTAGATGTAAGTTGATTCTGCCCTACTATTATTATTATTATTATTATTATTATTTTTTATCATCACTTTAGTTCTTATGCTCTTGTTAAAATTGATAAAATTCAAAAACTCTTCTATTCTTTTTCTTTATTTTACAAAGAAAGTTGCATAATGAGAATAATGGAAGAGGTTGTTGAGATTTAAATATTAAATTTATTGTTGTATAGCATAAATAATTGAGTTGAATTTTGAGTTTAAACTTTTCTATTTTTCAAATAACATACTATTGCTTACTGTAGAGTGAAGACCATGCCATACTATAAAGTAGCTTTATGGTAACCTAACTCTATACAGCTGCCAAGATACCAGGTGTTAGTAAAGAACCAAAAACATTTCTGTTTGCAATGAATATGGATTCATATCCCCCTCTCTTTAGTTCAAATAGTAATAATACTCTAACTCAGAACATTGACCTTGATGAACCCATCGAACATACCGAAGATTTGGATCCTATCCCAGTCATAGACCTTCAATGCCTTAACTTGGAAAAGCTAGATGAAGCCTGTAAAAATTGGGGTGTCTTTCGTTTGATTAACCATGGGGTTCCTTCAACACTTGTAAGCCAAATCCAGGACCAAGCCAGAAAGCTTTTCTCCCTTTCATTTGAATATAAACAGGCGATTCTAAACAGTCCTTTGTCTTACGTTTCGGGAACTGTATTCCTTAGCTCATCAGGTAAAGCCCTGACAACTTCCCAGGGTCTCAATTGGGTAGAAGTTATCAATTTCCCACTCACTCAGCTCTCACAATTCCAAGCTCAAGACTCCATGCTTGACTCTTTCAGGTACAACTTCATTTGCTTCTTATCCTTTCCGCTAATTCTTTTAGATCCTGTTTTGTTTTTAAATCTTTTTTTTTAATCAAAGTTTAATTGGCAAGATATTTTCTTTGTGGTTTCACTAGACTAGTAGTGGAAGAATATGGAAGACATCTCGCTAGACTTGCTAGTACTATTTTCCAAGTGATAGAGAAAAACCTCAATCTAGATCCAAGCCAATCCAAATCTCATTTAGCAGAATCAACAGGATTTGTTCGTGTTCATCGATACCCTCAAATTGCTAAAGGTAACCAAGCTTGGGGAGCAAGAGTGCATACGGACTCCTCAGTTCTTTCAATACTAAGCCAAGATCAAATTGGGGGACTAGAAGTTTTCAAGGAAAACAAATGGCTCCCCGTTAAACCCGTTGCCAACACCTTCATCGTCAACCTTGGAGATATGATGCAGGTCCATTCAAGCTCTCATGAACTTTCTAATTTCACTTTCTAACATTAATTTAATTAAACATCTCTTAGTTTGAATCACCAAAATTCTGACAATTTCAAATCTCTCGACGTACGTAATGATTCTTATGTAATATTAAATGTTGATTTTTTTATTAAATGACATTACTTAAGATTATCAATATGCTGTTGCCACTTTTGAACAATTTAAGTTAATTTTTTGATGATTTAATCATCAGGTTATAAGCAATGATGAATACAAAAGTGTGAAGCACAGAGTGAGGGTGTGCAAGCAAGAGGATCGAATCTCAATAAACTACTTCGTGTTCCCAGACTTCGATTCTGTTATCGAAAGCTCAAAGTATAAGCCTTTTACTTACAAAGAATTTCGTGCACAAGGACAGAAAGATATAGAGACACTGGGATTTATAGTTGGCCTTGAAGGTTTCAAGCTTGACAAGTAGGTTATTTAAGCATCATTTGTTGCCTTAATTATCTCATTTTGTAATACCAGGCTGAATAATCAGTCATTTTTTCTTTCCTGTTTACTTTCTTTGAATTGACTCTAAGGTTGATGATAGGCATTTCAGATTTGCTTTTGAAATGCAGCACATTATATTATTTTCAAATTCAACTTTATCATGTTGAATTTGGATTTCACTCCACAATGTGGTAAGGTTTCCTTTTCGTACCAGAATTTCTTATCCTGAATGGCGATTGAAGTACCTCTATTCTCGCAGGAAAATTTGACTACTTCATTGATATAATTGTAGAGGTCAACAACACACTTCCAACTGCGTTCCATCAACGATTATAGTAATTGTAGTTGAATTTGTGTTCTTAGTGATTTAGTCAGTTTGTAAAACTTAATCTAGCATCACTACATCCAACCACCACTTGAATGTAACCAATAACTTTTGTTAACATATCATCGCCCACACTACTTATCTCTTTGAACCAAATTATGTTGTCAATTTCTCTCAACTTTTGCTCCACTCACTGAGCATAATCACAAAATAAACGGGGAATAGAAACCAGATTGTCCAAAAAGGTACCGACTCACTAAAGCATTTATAAGAAAGATAAAAAGGAGGATGGATGAGATAGGATGACTGAAAACAAAACTAGGGGACGGGCACCAATCAAGTATTGTGGGATTTCGCAACAAAGTACACACTAACCATCATTAACTTAACCATTAATAAATCAAAATTTCCTTGTATTATGTTCAAAAGACTAGCTTTAGCACTTGGAAAGTTACTATAATTAAGAAGCGTAACGGTTTGCAAAATGCAAAGTTACCATTCATAATCACATGAATTCCCCTGTATTCTGTCCAAAAGACAAACTTCAGCATTTGAGTCACTAACTATGAAGCCCTAGACAGGTTGAAGAACAGAAAGAACCCTAGAAATCACATAAATTTTTAGAACGATGACAACGGATCTTAAAAGTAGACATATAATGATATGTCCCTAACAAAAAATCCCAACACTTATAACTTAAGGCTATCAAGTTAAAAGGTTTAAGGTCAAATCTAGATGCAGGATTATAAGAATCAGATAAGAGAGCAAATCAGTAAATAGAGCTCCATAAGCAATACGAATAGCTATTTCCATAACAGATATAACATAAATCAGGCCCCTGGAACAATTAAATTATAGTTCTCGAAGAAAACATCTTTAACAGACAACAAACTCAAGACCTGAAGTCTAGCTAAAATTCCAACATTTTAAAATCTGTCATTCAAGCTACGTAAACTCCAGTAAAACCAAATCACTAAAGATAATACGACCCAGCAATCATCTTTTCTTAAAACCATATTTTTTACGCTCATAAAACAAGTCAGTTTTAGCACTCCCAAGATTAACAATTTTGGGACAACCATCCCGATCTTTCTCTTGCTGGGTACACTCCTTACAGTAATATGCATCAGATATTCCCACTCCTCCACAGATAACACACCTACCCTGAAAAGAACCGTAGTTGCATTCGTCACAAACCCGCACCAGCGTGCAAGGACGAACATAGGAATCACAGATAACACACTTGCCATCACACTTCTCACATAGTCGTCCTATAGCAATACCTGGCTGCTTCCGGCACATGATCAAATCGGGATGGTGCTTGGCCATGACTGACCCAACTCGTTCCTAGTTGTTCCAGAAACTGAAAAAGAAAGCAGACAAAATGTCCTCATACATAATCAGACCATAGCAAAGACTATTATAAAGATAAATTCAAAAACCCCAACATCACAAAATCAAAGACAGAAACCAAACAGAGCTTAAACTTCATTACTCAAATTTATGCCATTCTCTTTTGCTTCCTAAAAATCGTTATAGAAAAGTAATTAACCACAATACAACCGCAATCATAATAGAATCATATCATATAAAAAGAGAAATCACTTATTTTGTTCTAAAAAAAACCATCATGTCAAAAAGTTTTCTTTTAGAAAAAAAAGAGAGAGAAAAGGAACCCCAAAAAAACCCTAATTTAAGAAAAAAAAAAAACTTGAAAACCACAACCTTGGACGAGAAATTATTAGCAGAAACAATAAGCCGAGGAATATGAATCAACAAAGGAGGGCGAGAGATGTAAGGCTGACCACAGAGGGTTAGCAAAGCTGCTATCGATGATCCGCCGAAGAGTCCACAGCAGAGAAAGAAGAGAGCGATAGCAAATCCAGGGTGTTTAATAGGATGTCGGCTTTCATTTGGGCCTTGCAGAAATATTTAGATTTAAAGTGATGGACGGTTGTTTCAGAGTTTTTGGGCTTTTTTCCCAAGACAGTGTTGTCGGGCTTTCTTTATCTGAATTTTTGGTGTTGATAAATTTAATTTGTTATAATCTATATTTTTAATAATTCAAACTTATTAAATACTACATTTTAACAATAAATTATATAAATTAATTGAGTTAAATTTTTTATAATTCATAATTTTTTGAGTTTATTAATAATATTATTTTTCATTTATAGTTTATTATGAATTTGCCTTATATTTATCTATTAAAAAAAATCATAATGTTGAATATTTAAAAAGAAAGAAATTGAATAACTTAATTCATTTGAATCGTACATATATTTTTCTTATTACCATATTATAACCTTTTTTATAAAAAAAAAAATCTAAAAACACAATAAAATATATCAAAATAATTTTTTTTCATCTTTTGGGATAAAATAAAAAAAGCCTTTTGAACATCCCTTAAGATAAATGCACACAACGAATTTACATCCATCAAAAATTAACTAGACAAAACGACAAATTAAGGAACGCCGTTTAACATCATTGGTCTCGCTATTCTTATTTAAACTCAAAATTTTAACCCCCAAAAAAAAAAAAATCAGAGTCTAAATTGGTTACCATAATCCAAGTAACAATTAGCAACCTTACATATTATGCTTATTTATGATGGTTAATTTCAATTATACAATCTCAACTATGCATGGATATGGGTTCCATATGACCCTCGTCAAAATATTTAAATAAACTTCCGCATAATTCATGTTCAAAATCGAATATTAATATAATAACTACTTATAACCAAAAAATTTTAGAAAAGTCGAGCCCTCCTGGTGACACACAATCCAATTATTTTTTAAAATAAAAAATCAACGTGAGCATCAATAAATTTGACTTGATTGATAAGATTATTTTGTTGAATGTGAGTGATTTTAGATTTAAATTTAATTAATAATTTTTTATTAAAATTATCTTAAATATATAATTTGTAATTATTATTTTTTATGTTATTAAATATAATTTATTTTATTTTAATATAAAGAATTAAATAATTTATCTATTTTTTAAATTTTCATAAAAAATCAACGTAAGCTAGAAACAAATGTTTAGGTCAAAAATGTGTTACAGGACCATAGTAAAAAAAAAAAAATCACATTCATGAATTACCTTTTAAATATTACCTCGATAATCTTAAAAAAAAAGCAATTGGGCTGCAATCTCCATCACTCTTCCCACTACCTCCACCACGGATACAGATTATTCAAAAACCATTTCAACTTTCATTGTCATCTCTAGAATATTGTTCTCGTCGTTTGTTTGTTTGTTTGTTTGTTTCTCTCTGTGTGTTCGAAGCAACAGGGACTCTGTATGTGGCTGTATCCTCTTTCTTTACTTTTTGTTTCATAAACTGACGGGGGAAACACATCCAATTGCCAACCAGGCAGGAGAGCAATAGCATTTTGGCACTTATTTTGAAGTTTAATCAAAGAGAAAGAGGGGACCTCGGAACAATCTACAGCCTTCTCATTCACCCATTTTCCTCTGCCTCCATAGTTGATCTTGACTCATGCCGACACTTACTTCTCCCTGTCATATGTGCATTAATTAATTTTTTATTTAATATGTTTTAATCTTGTAGAAACAATTAATGAACTCATTAATTTGTAACAAATTAACCCTTATTATGATTATTATTTTAATTGTCAACAAATGAACTTAATTGCATCTGTAATCCTATGTACAGATTGAAAAACAATGAGATATTGTTTTAATGATAATGGAGAAGTTTTGAAACCTAAATATTTCATATTGAAGTCTCATTATATATGAATTTTGTTTAATTATATAATGATATGTTGATTATTAATTTAATTTATTTTTTATGTATATTAAAAATTATTTAATTATAAATAAAATTTTATTGATACGTATAGTTTCATAAAAAAAAAAAAATTTCCATTCAATCGTGTAAGGTAGCTCAAACGTCTCGACTCTCAACGGATATAATTAATTTTGCTCACTTACTTAGAAATTGAAAATATTCAAACTCTATTCTATTTTCTAGTTTTTAAGACTTAAGATATAAAACATTATTCTTTTGGAACATGATAATATCATTTCTTATATGTGATTTTTTTAAAATATGTTTTTTATATTTAAAGATTTAACATATTGAATTATAATTAATTAAATTAAAAGTTTAACATGTTACATGATTACTAATCGATTAAATTTATGTTTAAAATAAAGGTCGAAAGTTTGAGATTTAAATTTTAATAGTTATAATAAATTTTTTTATTTTTATATTACAGCAACATTTTTTTATATAAAAAAACCAACAGTTTGAATTTTAAAGGTTTTATTATCTAAGAGTTAAAATTAACATGTAAATGAGTATTTCTTCTATTAAATTTGAGAATCGAGATGAGATATTAACTCCTATTATATATAAATTTGATAAAATTAATGTTAGATGCATTGATTAGTGCTTCTGTAAGTTTCACCATGCCTAAGAAATTAAGTAAGTTCATCTTAAACAATGTTTGCAAGAATGGTGGGGAAAATGTTAATAAAAAAGAAATTAGTAGAATTTTACTAATTAAGACTACTCTAAAAATCATTCTTTAAACTTAAATTAATAATTTTTATTTATAACTTTACCGTTAGTTTTTTTTTTTTTTTATTTCTCATTCTTCATACCAATGCAATAAAAGAAAATTTTTTTTCTTTACTTTCTTTAATTTTTCTTTCTTCATTAATTTCCCTCTTCAATTATACTATATAAACATAGAGTAAGACTAGTTAGCAAAATGGAATATAAGAAAATGACAAATGTTTATAAAAAGTAAGAGAGAAAAATGGATGGAAGAAAATAGGTTGGTCCAATTAGTTTTTTCATAGTCGACATTTGCCACAATGCCAAAAAACCTAGTAATAGGGCACAATACATGATGGAAAATCCGACAATGCTTCACTTGCTCCTCCCCACTTTTTTAATTTCAACCATAACCTATCAAAATTCAACACGCCACTACCGCATGAATCTCGGTTCTCCTCTTCTTTGTCTTTCATCATTGTATTTTCTTTCGCAAAAAATTTATACAAAATAGTTACTTTACATAAATATATATTATTTTCTTCCAAATTATGATCTATAATTATATTATTAAAAAAATAATTTATTATATATCATATGTGATAATTAAATAATAAATATTTATTTTAATATATTATATATAATATAAATTAATTAATTAATTTTTTTAAATGATATAGTTTAAATACTTTTTTTTCTTTTATACGCAAGTGAAAGGGAGCCAAATATGGTCGTGGTGGGCCACCTTTTGATTTTGCTAAGGACTTTCTTTCCCAATTTGTGATTTGTCACTGATTATGAGAATTGACTACAAATTACTCCGTACAAGTATTGGAATTGAGGGCAGCCTTCTTCCCTCCATTTTCTTGCCCTTTCACTTACTTATTCCTTTCCATTCCAACTCAGCAGTAGGCCAGTAGCCTAAACAATTCCATCCTCTCTAAGAAAGTTAAATCCCCTTCCTCTCTTAAATAAAAAAGTATATTTTGTATTTGTATTATATTTATTTTGTATAAAATATAAAAATTATTATATCTAATATATAAATCAATATATTAAATATAAAATATATTATTTAATTTTTATTAATTTTATATACATTTTTTATTAAAATTTTAAAATATATTATTTTCATATATTTTTACATATTATTATTATATCGTATTTAATAAAACAAAAACACACTAAATAAAATTAATTAATAATAATTTTAACTATACTTCAAGATGAAAGATTACATTAGATCCACAATTTCTTTTATGAAACATTACATTAATTTTATTTTTTAAATATTATGTTATTGATGCCTATCATGTCACAATCTTAATAATTTGTATCTTTTTAATATTTTTTATGATAAAAAAGTAAAATAAAAAAGAATTTATAAATATTAAAAATCACGTTTTAACTTTGTAAAAATTTTCCTTTTTAAAGAGATGAATGAACTATTTAAATTAAAATTTAAATTCTTTTAATTTTTGTTTAATCAATATATTTAAAATTTTAATATAACTTCCTTTTGAGAATGTATCATTTAAAATTATTGTATTATAATTAATTAATTACAATAATTAAGTAAGATCCATTAAAATTTGTATGAAACCACACTTATAAATTACAAGTGATAAATTTTTATATAATTTTTTATTATGATTAAAAATTATAAAATTTTAATAATAAAAAAATAAATCAAATGCTCTTTTGGTTGGGCATATTTTAGCAAATAATATGATTTCTCAAATCAAATGCCATAGAGAGCAATCTGAATAATATGGACAGACCACATTTATTTGCTATTTTCTATTTTGCATACTTGATGGTCCCCGTTTCCAGAAGCAACCTCGTCAATTACAAGTTTTTTTTTTTAGGAAGACCAACTAGGCAAATCAGATGAGGTAGCTGGGCTTTCTAGGCTTTCCAGTGCTAATCCCTTTAAGGGAACCCAACAGCAGCAGATTTTCAGAGACGCCAGCCTGCAGAGATGGCCGAGTGCCAATGAAAACAAGTCAGCCAGGACGTAGATAGAGACCGGATACATAGGCACGTTTCGAAAAATCCAAATGGGCCCCTACCCATTATAAATTAACTTCCCCTAGGACAAAGCCTATTCTCTATATATAGTGCCTCTGCTTTGGCAGTAGTCAAACAAGAATTAGAAAAACAACATGCCTGAAATGAGCAAAAACCTTGAATCCTACCCTCCTGTCTTTCGCCAGCTGAACGGTGCTCCCCAGATAGCTGAAATGAAAAACTACTCCATGGAAGACACCCAAGATTCAGTTCCTATTCCTCTGGTGGATCTTCAGTGTCTTAGCCTGGATAAGCTTGAAGATGCTTGTAAAGATTGGGGTCTTTTTCGTTTGGTCGACCATGGGATTCCTCCAAGCCTTTTGAGCAAACTTCAAGACCATGCCAAAATGTTATTTTCTCTATCCTTTGAGTCCAAGCAAGCCCTATTGACTAGCCCTATGTCTTACTTTTGGGGCACCCCTGCCCTAACCCCGTCGGGGGCTGCCCTAAGGGGTGCCTTGAATATCAATTGGTTGGAAGGCTTAAATGTTCCACTCAGTCAACTCCCACAGTTGCAAACTGAAGATCCTAGGCTTGATGGTTTCAGGTACTGTTTTCATTTTGTTTCTTGTCCCTCTTCCCTGTTGATTGTTTTGGTGGGCATTTGAGATTTGTATTGCTTTTGGGTGGTCAATTATACCAACGAAGTGACCAACTGATTGAACTGTCCCAGATATTTTGCAAAAAAGAAGATTGCAAGGTCAGCATCAATAACTTTTTAGACCCTGGCAAAAATGTTGTAGTATCAAAACCCATGAAAGATCAATCACCAGAGTTTCTTTGGTTTAATTTTCCATACCACTTTTTTACCATATATTCAATTAATTGAAACTAAGAATCAGAAGAATTTATTTTTAGTTTTTTTTTTTTAACAAAAAAAGTTTTAACTTAAAAATAAAAAAATTATAGATTCTAAAATTAAAAATTATTAAATGTTATTTTTACACAATAATTAATTTGAGTTAAACAAATTCAATCTCAAGTACTTTCCTGATGATATATTTTCTGCTTATATATGTTACATAGTTTTCATTTGTCAGTCTGAAAAAGATATACCAAGAATTTCCAGGTTGTAGGACCAATATGTTAGTATTACTAACAATCATAAATTGATAATATCGCATAACGTAGCACACTGTTTCTTTGCTTTGGGAAATTTGTGGAGACCTGAGAATGCTAATCACAGTTTTGAGCTAAGTCCCAACGCTTAAATTTATCTCATCAATGTTCAACTAAATGTAGTGAATCCAGGTGTGTGAAGCTTCATGTGTAACAAATATACTAGAATATCCTAAAGGGAAGATTATTGAATATTATTGGGGCTTTTTATTAGATTGGGTCCACGTTACCCTCTGCAATATATTTTATATTTTTGTAAATATGAAAAAAAATAAGGAGAAGAGAAATTATCAAAGAAGGAAAAATTATAAAAAGCAGTAAGGAACAAGAATGACTTCTAACAGCTTTTGATTGATATATTTAGTGAAGGAAATAGTGGGATTGCCCCCTCATTGTGCTTAGGCTTTCGATCAATAGCAAATTATTCTTTGCCATCGTATATATAAACAAAAACATAAAGTTTCCTTGGGTTCTGCATATTTTCCAAAACGAATCTGCTTTCCAGTTCTCGACATGACTTTCATGGTCGCACAAAGTACTGTGAACTTTTTATTTGTTATATTAAACTGATCAATTATCTCTCTTTGACATAACATAAATCTAACCCACAACTCACAATAACATGCCCCACTTGTTTACTTGCTAATCCAAATCAAAGGTTGATCAGCCTCTACAAGTTGATATGTAGTTTGTGATCTAACTCTTTTTATCGCTTTCTGTTTAACAAGATATTTTGTTAACTGTCATTTTCATTAGGCGATTGTTGGAAGAATATGGAAGGCACCTTTCAAGAATTGCTACAACCTTGTTTGAAGCAATGGCGAAGAATCTCAATCTGGGTCCTAAACAATCGGAGTCCAAGTTAGATGAATCCACTGGATTCATACGTGTTTACAGGTATCCACCTGGCTCCTTGGCTAACGAGGCTTGGGGCATGATCGCACACACAGATAGCTCAGTGCTTTCCATAGTGAACGAAGACCAAGTTGGGGGACTTGAAATTTTCAAGGACAATAAATGGCTCCTGGTTAACCCAATTCCTAACACTCTTATAGTCCATATTGGTGACATGATGCAGGTCTATAAGATCTTACTTGAATTTTTTAATTTCTTTTCATCTTTCATACCTATATATTATACTTTGATCTATATAATACTTTATGTTATTTCTCAGATAATGTTTCTAAAGCACATAAAGTTTATTATTATTTTATTTTGTGAGACCAAGAAGTTTAATAACCAATGTCCCTATAAATACACTATTCTTTTGCATTCATGTTGAAAATCTTACTTTTTTTTTTTATTAAAATGTTGTGACATAGGCTATAAGCGATGACGAATACATCAGTGTGAAACATAGAGTGAGAGTGAAGAAGCAGGAGGAACGGTTCTCAATATGCTACTTTGTATTCCCAGCAGAAGGCAGTGTGATTCACAGCTCAAAATACAAACCTTTTACTTACACCGATTTCCAAGAACAAGTGCAAAAAGACACCAAGACTCTAGGATATAAAGTTGGTCTCCAAAGGTTCAAGCTTGATGCAGATGCTTAATCAGTTATGTTGTATTTTCTTCTAGTAATTCCTTCATTGTGGAAAACCTTAGATTCAATCCTACCCTTAATTACTCCTCAGCTGACTAACAATATATAGTCAGCAAAAAATGCGGTGCTCAATGGGTTCTCTTCTCTTTCCAATATTTCTTTCTTGCGAAGATCGATTGTTGTATAAAACCAAATGCCTGGTTGCTGATCTAATATAAATTTGTAGAGGACATGGAAAAAACTATGAACCAGGCCGCGGAACCCTCGAGAAAATGAAGTAAACAAAGGATATGCTTTGCACTTTGCCGTTTGCTATCTAAATCTCAATATTTTATATTCAAATTTTAATACTTATAATCTTCTTATGTCTTAGTTATGATTTTTTTATATAAAAGAATACATATCTTATTGAGGGTGGACTCATTTGATTCCATTTCTAAATACGTCCAAACGATTTTTGCTAGTGAATAGTATAGTAATAGTGAAAGATGAGAATGAATTTATATTAAAGAATGTGCAAAAGCAAACTTTCTCCTTTCTCCTTTCTCTTTTCTCCTTTGGATGCTAAAAAAGACACTGTTTTTTTCACTGTCAATGGTACTTTGCTTTGAGGGTAGGGGGCCCTAATTGATGAAATTACACCTAATACTTGTCGTTAAACAAATGTCGAAGGGGCTGCATTGTATTTTTCATTTTTCAGACATCATATCACAACTTTACCTAATTTGGGATAGTTGTGAGGTATTTGGAGATGCAAAACTATATTTTGATTTGATAAACCCATGTGAATATTGTCTCTTATTTTTTGTTGCCTTTTTTGTGAATGATTAAACAAAGCCACCTTATATATATCCTTGTCCCACTAACTTAAAAACTGACAATTATATGCTTGTCATTTGAACGCAAAAATATATACATGAATCCATGTCGATCGGACAAAAGTCTTTGAGCAATTTGTTCATATGCCGGCCTGGGAAATTCACTGTTACAGTCACTGGAAGATCTGCATTTTGAAGAATAGCCTGACGTGTGTTTACACTTTGAATTGAAATATGAAAGACACAATCTTCAGCTTGGAGAAGTGAAATCTACTGCGTTAGAAATGACTTTCAGTTTCATGATTAGGTTAATGCTTATATACATGTGTGGATGAAGAGGACCAGTCAATCAGCATAAGAATGTGGAGTTGTTGGAGATTTTGGGCTACATATATTGATCCAGTACTGAAGCCCATACTAACTCCTGTTACCAATCCCTGTTATTCATCCACTAGCTGCTTCATCACAACACCGATTTCTGTTTTGCTGTGCTTTTATGGAGAAATTTAACCAAAAGTCAGTAGACATTGACTAAGTATCCAGAGAAGCAGTTACCCAATTGCACAAGCTTTTCCCCACCTTGCAACTGAAAACACAGTCGAAAAAGACGTGGAAAATTGTTTCCCTTTTCACCACAAACACAGCATCTGTTATCCGTTTATAGTTTCGACCTGCCAAGTACATCTTTAACTGGTAGTATTCCCTATAACAGTCTCCATGCAATGAGTTTTATCTTTGATATTAAATTCAACTTCCAAACATGAAATAGAACACGTTATAGTTCCACATACGATTGTTTGTTATCAATCACAGCAGCAACTAGGATGTGTCGTCCTTCATAGTCCGATACGCAAACAGGTTTGTAGGTAGGGGGTTTACTGAACCATTTGCCCCGCCATGTGTCGATCTTCATTCCATCACCTACATGCCATCTTCACCTGTTAATAGGACTTCTCCCACCCATCAGATTGCGCCACATAAATGATGGATTGGTCCCTAGCTTTGCGTTCAAAAAGCAATCATGAGGGAAGTACTTAGCCATCAGAACTTTGTGACATGGTGAAGATTCCTTTTCTACAATTCGCCAATATTGCTTTGCCAATAAAGCTATATTGAAGGCTTTAAAATCCCCGAAGCCAAGCCCCCCATCAAGCTAAGCTTGACGGAGTGAGTCCCAATTCATCCAGTGAATCCGTCTCTTATCACTCTCACTACCCCACCAAAATTTGGCAATAATCATGTCTAGTTCATGAAGCAAATTCTTTGGGAGCCTAAAACAACTCATACGATACAATGGCACTGCTTGTGCAGCCGCCTGGATCAGGACAACCTTTCCTGCAAATGATAGAAATCTTCCTTTCCAGCCTTGAATCCTTTGCCAAACTCTGTCTTTGATAAAAACAAATTTGCGTTTTAAAAGAGAAGAGAAAGTTATTTAATAAAATGTGATAAATTTTTTTAAATGCATATGTTTTTATAAAAAAATATAATGTGACACATATATATCTTTAATTTTATTTTTATGTCAATTTCTCAATTGAGTTGTTATACTTAATTTGTGACACTAATTCACTAAATAATTTTATAATAGTAAGATAACAAATTCAATGTTCAACCTGAACTCTTTCCATAGCTTTCTTTCTACAAGTCATCAATCCACAACATTAATGTTTTAATATTTTATTATTTTGAGTTACTATTATTTTTAGGCCTTTAAAACTAAAAAAAGGATGTGGGATTATTATTTTTCTAAAGGGAGTGTAGAAGTACTTTTATTTTTAATTAATTAGATGATAAATTTAATAATATAATCTAAACACAAAAGGAAACACATTTCAAAATTGAAAATGAAATTTGTTTCTCTCAAAAATTTCATGAATGAATAAAGAGACTGTTAATTTTTATTCCAAAATTTTGAACTTCTATAGCTTCACAAGAATTGGGAGAAAAAAAAAAAAAGACCACCAAGAAAATGGTGTACTTTAATCTTAAAGGCTTCCATTGGGAATAAGCTTTTTTTTTTTTTTTTTTTTTTTTTCTCTCACAATTCTTCTTGCTTTGGAAGATAAGCTATTCATATTAAATAAACAAAAATAGTAAAAAAAAAAAAAAGAAACAATAAATGTAAAATCACTCAATATAAAAGACCTGCCAAAAAAAAAGGGGTATAGTCCTTGAAAAAATTTAAAACTCTAAAAATCAAAATTTTGAAATCGAGTAAGTTAAGATGCATTGCATGAGACTTAAAGAGATTATTATTTTTTTTAAATCATCAGATATTCCCTCCATTCTATTTTTTTATCCATCTATTTTTTCTAGTGTTCTAAAATTATATTTTTTTAATATCTAAAACTCTTTTTTTATATTTTAAAATTATTTTATTTTTTGACATTAAAAATCATGAAACTTTAATTTTATATACATTAAATTAAAATTTTTTTTAAACTCTATTAAAATCAATCACATCCAAACAATTTGGGACAAAAAAATTTTTAAAATTTTGTTTTAACAATATATAAAATTTACCATGTTCCCGTTAAAAAAAATTAAATAAATATTAAAATTAGTTCAATGAATTTATATAATTATTTTTAAAAATAAAAATATAATAAATTTAAATTTTAAAAATTAACAATTATATTATTTTCTTAAGTCTCAAATTGAATTAAAAAAATAATATTACTTTATTTGACTAAAATAAAATTATTTTGTGTATCACAAGTCTAATAATTTAATTTTAGAGGACAGACAAAAATTCCCTTTTTTACCGTACAACAGGGGAACAAAAAATCACAGCCGTTACAGAGTGGGTCCTAGTTGATAGACGGCTGATATTCCATGCAAAAAAAGGGTTGGTTTATAGGAAACGAGGAGAGAATAGTAGACTATAAAGGCTGTTTCTTGGTGAGAAAGCATAGAGAAGAGAAAGAGAAACTAATGTGAGAGAGATTCAAAAGAAAGCTGTTAGTATTTTCATCGGGATTTTCATTCAATTGTTTTAACCCTATTTTTTCTTTCTGTATATATAACTTTCTTGGCACTGCTTCATAACGTACTTCAGTTAAAAAGGTATCAAAGTTTCTCTTCTGGGAAGGTCTCCAATGGCGGTGGTGGGTGTTTTAGAAGAAGAAGGCTCTCTATTGAGGAAAAGGAAACGTAAGAAAATTTTTGAAAAGAAGAACCTTGATGTTCATGAAAAAGTCGAGGTAATGTGGTTATTGTCAATTATGGTTTTTCATGACTTTTTCTTTGATTATGCTTTTTTTTTTTATTGTTGATTTCTGTCTTTTTTTTTTTTTTTGGGTTTCAAATTCTGGGTTGTAATTTCCTTGGGCCTTCTTAATCTTAATATGTTTTTTTTTTAATTATTTTTTTAATTGGGTTAATAATATATTTTTTTTGGCTTTGTTTATAGCTGAAAGCTTCCAATACTGTTAATCACTGTAATTAGCGCTACATTGTGTTGTTTAATTGTTTATCTCATTAGTAATTTGCAAATATGCCTGGTTTGCGGTTTGTTGGGCAGCCATGCATTGTTAAATTAGAAATTTTTTTTTTTTCAAAATTTCGAGTCATTGGCTGATCACTTACTCTTTAAATATGAATATATTATGGCTTTGAAGTTTAGGTTCTTTGCATAACAAATTTGAAATGGTGTAGGTGAGGAGTGTGGAAGAGGGGTTTCAAGGTTCATGGCATCAAGGAACTGTTATTGCATGGGATAAGCAAGGGTGTCACGTCAAGTATGATTATCTTCTTCTTGATGATTGTTCTGATAATCTGGTTGACATTGTGGGTGTTTCACCTGTAATAGAGGGTATTGTTTGTCCCTGTGAGAATCATTGTAACTATCGGGGGTCTATAAGACTATTGCCACCTAAACTAGAGTTTAGCAAATGGAATCTTTGCTACGGACTCTGCGTGGATGTATGGTATAAGGAGGCTTGGTGGGAAGGTGTGATTTTTGACCAAGAAGATGGTTCAGAGAAGAGGAGAGTTTTCTTCCCTGATTTGGGTGATGAAATGATTGCTGAAATTTGTAACTTACGGATTACTCAAGATTGGGATGACCTTGAAGAGGAGTGGTGCAGACGTGGAAACTGGTTGTTTCTTGAGTTGATTGAACAATATGAGCAAGAGTGGTACATTTCTGTTTCTGTGAAGCAACTTTGGTATGATTTACGGGAGAAAAAAGGTTTTCAAAATTTTAGAGATTGGACTTTTTATTGTAATTCTTTGTGGAAAGAATTGGTGCTGGAGGTAATAAAAGATAACCATGAAATCACTGTGAATCATTTTCTCAGGGTGTTAGGTCTTCATGGGTCCTCCCAACCAGAACCCAAGTCAATACTAAAGCCTACTATACCAGATGCAGATGTCAAAATGAGTTCTGATGCAGATTTAGCTGACACATTTGCTTTTGTGCCATTTGAGAATCCAACTAACAGTACTTTGTTGAGTCCAAACTCAGCTAACGTTCAATCAATTCAAGAGAAATCTAATATAGGTCAGTTGGTGCACATCTCAAAGGATGATACCAATGTTTTGCCCGAATGCAATGGATCCTCTCTTGATAAAGCAGTCAATGTTTTACCTGAGGCGTTGTTGGTTTCAACTTCTGTTGCAGATGGAATTTCCTGCATCAGCTCTGTAACTAGCAATGACGGATTTTTCAGAACCGGTAAAGATATGGCCAAAAGGATGGCCACAAAGTCAAGACTAAATACAACTGCAACATGGATAACTGCTGGCCCTGACCTTGTTCCTAAGGCTGAGTCATGCCCTGATGCCATTGCCATATACGCTCTTGCTGGTAAGAAACATGGGAATGCTCTGATAACTGATGTTAGGAAGCATCTTCTGTATCAGGGATGGAAAATTGAGTCAAAGCAAGAAAAACATTTTGTCAGAATGCGATACATCTCACCTACTGGTGATTGTTATTATTCTCTTTATAAGCTCTGTTTAAATTTGATGAATCACTCCGGGAAGCATATTTGTTCAAACACCAAAGATGTACAAATTAAACCTAACATCAAGGATCTAGATGTTGTTGAACCAGAATATTGCCCTCAGGC